TGTTTATTGTTACTCACTGTTGATAGGGACGTATTTTTTGTGCTATCAGAGGCCAAACAAGTAAGAATTATTGCAGAAAATAAAATTGATTAAATAATGAGAAATTATTTATATGAATATCAATTTAATCTCAAATAATGTTTGGTAGAAAATTGTGGAGAAATTGCGGCGAACAAATTGTTTAGAAGCGATAAATGAATCCATGAACAAACCGACAGTAACGACTGCTGACATTGGATTACCTGAGATGCGACATGTTTTATACAAATGTAAAAGCACCGCGCAATTCTGGAGTCCCGGGCTTCAACCACCTTACACAACGGATGAAGAGATAGAACGGTAAAATATATAATTTTTTTTAAATAAACGATGTAACATCTGTAGTAAAAATAATATATTTTTCCAGATTATTGGAGCTTTATCAATGTTTGCATCACAGATTGCATTCTCCTAGTCGGCCCTTGAAACTCATATTTCAACAGCTAGATAAGGAAACGATGTTAGCATGGGTAAATAAAAATTTATGTGATCTATTTGATCGCAAGGTTGTTTCTTTACTTAAAAAAAAGTATTTTTAGGTGGCTTCTGGTTTCGAATTATATGTAACATTTGAACCTCTGGTAACGAAACCAGATGCTATTGAAGCAGTGAGCAAGCTGTTAAAGTGGATAAAGAAGGAAGAAGAGAGATTATTCATTCTAAACTCGCCTACATTTTAAATATTGCCAAGTATTTTGTTCTTACAAAATATATAAAAAAGATAATATGTAAAATTGATAGAAATATTGATCGAATTTTGAAAATTGATGAGGTATATCAAGGATTCCAAAGTAAAACATCTTTGTTATATATATATGTTCCAAGAAAGGCAGGAATATAGTTATTATTCATCTATTATTAAGTATTGGTATATGTAATCGATACCGCTATTTTGTTATTTAATAAAACAATTGTAATATAACACAAATAATGTGAAAATGTGTATATATATATATTTGAATATGTCACAACGGATGCTATTCCGGGTACATGTAATTTTAATACCGAATTCTTGTAAATGTCACATACTGGCGCTAAAAATATACGAGCATTGATAAGAGCATGAGAAAAGTTAAAAATTATCAATTCATCTCATATAAACCTAGACAAAAAGATTTTCTATATTATACCTCACTTTTAATCTTAATATCTAGTTCTGTCGCGTTCTCTTCTACGATCACGATCCCTTTCTCTTTCTCTCTCCTTCTCTCTATCATCTCTTCTATGACGATCTCTGTCCCTATCCTTATCTTTGTGCGATGATGAATAAGATTTTGGCGATTTGCTGCGTTTACGTTCTCGTCTGTCTCTATCCCTCTCTCTCTCTCTGCTTCTTGATCTTTGTTTTTCCTTGTCAGATTTCTTCTCGTTTCGAGTATGCCTCTTATCCCTATCTCTATGACGATCTCTGTCCCGTTCGTGATCATCTGGTCTCTTGCGTGGTACTTCTTTAATTGGTGGAATTTCTTCTTCCTCTGATGATTCAATACCATCATCCATATCATCTTCCAATGCTGATATCTTTGCTTCTATATAACATAAATAATATATAAGATGGTTACGAATAAAAGTAACATTAATATATAGAAAATACTTGACACACACATACCTAACTCATTATTTTCTTCTAAAACATGCCTCTTTTGAATTCTTGGTAAAATAACGTCACAACTTCTTTCGTCCCTAAGAAGAATGTCAATGAATTCGTCCATGTGTACGAGTTCGAATACACCCTGTTTATTCTGTATTCTGAGCTTTCTATTGTCGTTAAATAATGGTTCGAGATATTTATAACAGTCTAGGGAAGAGCCAGTCAATCTCATGTACAGTGCACCCAAAGCCCGAACATATTTAAACTCTTCGTTTTTTATAAATTCAACTATGATGTCCTTCTCAGGTTGTATTTGGAGCATTTTTAATATGAGACAAAGAAATGGAGTAGGCTTTACATTGCCGCCATAAACTCCTCCTAGAAATCTAAAAGATTACATGTAATTTATTAGAAAAAACACTTCTCACGCTTACTAACATTTGTTACTACAAATTTATCCGTTAAATGCATAAAAATAATATTATAGTAAGAATCAATGTATAGAGGTTATATTTTGCTAACCTCAACTCCATTGCCTTGTCGACCAACAGTTCGGCTGTTAAAGCAAAACATTCTTCTTTCCAGTACTTAGAATCGTATATTCGAGATCTGATAATCTTCTCAATCAAATATTGTGGATTTGTTCCGCGAATAGATTTAGCATCTTTCACCGTGCGGTTTGCCATTTTCGAATACTACTACGATTTGCTATCGGTTCTCCACTGGAAATCACCAGAGGACACTGACTTACCGGAAATGTTATTTTGCACGATCGATAAAAAAATTTGGCGTCAAATTTATTTTTGATAATGACTGACACTCAAATCAGATAAAAGAAAAGAATAAATATAGTGCATAGAAATTATCTCTAACGCAGAAACTTAATAAGAAATATATTTTTATTAATGTGTAATTATTTAAAATATTTTACTTGCAGATTTTCATAATTCTATATACAGAAAATTTTGAGAGAAAGATATATTATTTTTTATGAAAAAAAATGTTTATACTTATGTTTTTTCCTTAGAACTCTTAAAATATTTATATTCTACTATCTATTAATATATCCATTATAATGTAAAATAAAAAACCAATACATGTGTACATAATTTTATTTATATTGATATACATATATATACATTATTTATATCCAAGAGGAAAATATGTAGAATTATTTTCTCTTCGCTCTGAAGACTCATTAAAAACTTAATAAAAATATGTATGATTGAATATTAAGTCATACATTATACATACATACATATATATATGTATATATAAAAGTACATTTTATAATATATATATATATATTTTAGCTAGAGGAAATAATTTTTCAGATTTGTAAGTCCAACGAATGACGAACCCGTTATGTTCAGACGAAAGAAATCCGGCAAAGCAATTCACAGCGGCCACCTTTTTGGTGTCACCTTTCTCTTCGCAGCCGCTTGGAGGCCGTGAGGGGACCCCTCACGACATCTCCTCTCTCTCTGGAGTCTCTCTCTTTCTCTGTCTTTCTTTCTCTCTATTTGCCTTCTCGCACATTCACCTGGCAACCTGGCTCACCTGAACGGCCATCTTGAAGCGCGCCGTCGTATCGCGTTCCTCGTCTTTCCACCAAGTCGCATTTTCCGCTCATCCTTGTAGCCGGCCATCCGTCGCATGTGCCGTAAGCTGCATGTGCAAAACCTCGCGACGTGCAGCAAGGCACCAGTGATCACGCCGGTAACATTTGTCGTTTTATAATCGTGCCTTCCCACCTGGCTTGCTTTCTTTCCCTTCGCATATTCCGATAAGGTCCTGACGTTGCTGACATCATTAGTGTACTTTGGAACTTATTCAAGATTCTCAAGGAAGTGCCGTCTCCGTTACGGTAAGTTGGATTTTCTGCCGGGCGAAAATTCACACGCAGCCAAACGTTTCTTCTTCTAATTGCCATTCGTGAACAACAGTCACGATTATTTATTTTTTAGGTCTAAAAATAATAGATTAGATTTAATTTAGACCAATACATGTATATACACACATACTCACACGCATGCATACACATGTATATAGGGTGTTCCATAAAAATTGTCACGAACCTAAGAAGACATTTCTAAAATCATTCTAACAATAAAACAAAAATTCTAATACACTAAAATATCGGGACTATACACTGTAAAAAATTATTCAGTGTTTAAAATGTTTATGTTTAAAACGTCTTTATAAAACAAACGTTTATAATAATAAAAGATATTGTAATTTTAAATATATTAAACAGAGACAAGAATAAAAAAATTGTAATATCTTAAAATTAAACACTTTTATGAGTTAATAGTTTTTAAATTAAAATATTAAAAGTTAGCGAATATCACTTAAAATTTGCGCGTTCAGATATAGTCCAACACAAAATGTTAATTGCCGGCTCTTTGATATCGATAAAAAAATATTAAAAATTTCTTTAAACTTATGTCAATTTATTATAAGACTTAAATGAGCATATATCTTAATCACTGGACTATGTAATCATAATTAAATTGAAGAATTATCTCTTATAGCGGATTTATTTAACTCTCCTGATAGTTTGTTCGAATCTATTTGATTCAAAATATAATTGATTTTCTCTCTTACTAATATTTTATATAAAAACTTTTTTCTAGTATTTCGATGACTTCGTTTGCAATATCAATTTTTTCTTAAAAAAATTAATTCTTTTATTTCTTAATATTGACCCAAGCATTATGATTGTATAGTAAATTTCAGAATTATTAGAATTAATTTTAGCAGACACCTTGTTTTGTCAACAGCTCATTCCACGTTTTTCTTCGTTCACGTCGCTCGAACGAAGGAAAGGTATCTATTGATGCTGACCCAACAATTGGTGAACGTTCCTGAACGCGCCCGACTGTAAATGTCACGGACGGCGCAATCGTTAGTTTAACGCGGATACGAGCGTGTGATCGTTTATGCTAGTGGGACCGGCGATGAAGAAACACGCTGGGAATTTAGTAGAAGATCCGTATTTATTGTGAAACAAAGAAGAAAGACAAACTCCTACCCGATTCTGGAGAAAATTATCTGCGGAGGGAGAGCGACTTAAATCGCAAAATTGTCGTAGTTGTGTGTTGCTAGCGAAAGTACGTGAATTATTCTTTGTTCGTGCGAGAAGTTACCTCCGAACGAACGCGCGTGTCTTACAAAAGGCGATTCCATTGTTGTCGAATAATTGGACTTTGTGGAGAACGACGTTCCAAGAACGACGACCTTCTGCCGCGAGTGTGATAACCACGCGAGTCAGTACGAGAAATCGCCGATCTCTCGGTTTCTTCCGCGATTTAATCAACGATTTATAATTCCACGGTCGCTTCTCCGTTCCGCGTATGGAATTCCCGGAGTTGATGTTATGGTCCAACGATTACGCGAGGAAGAATCGCTGTTAAACGACGTGCCGGTGGTTGGTTGGGACCATTGGGACATCGAGTTTACGTTGACGGGAAATTAACAGCGACTGTCAAAATGGGTTCGAAGATCGAGTACGTCGAGTCCTCGCACATGTATGCGACTAATTACATCCGCAATTCCAAGGCGATTGGCGTGCTATGGGGTATCTTTACCATATGCTATGCTATTATCGGCGTGGTTGCGTTCGTCACCCCGGAATGGCTCGGCGATCTGGAGCACGAGAATCCCGGGAGATTCGGTCTGTGGACCAGGTGTAGCTATGGTGGGAACGGTTTGTATACTGCGATTCTTATTTATATTTAAGAAGGACAAAGAAGTCAAAATAATATGTCAATTTAATGTAATATTGACTGATTATTGACTGAATTTATGTCACCTTCTTGTGACTCAATCATTTTGACATTATTTTGTTTTTTGTTCTTGAATGTACTCTCTAAATTCTTTGGAGTGAAATTTCACTCTAAAGAGCGACACTGTGCCAGTCTTAAAAAAGAAGTAGCACAATTTTCAATCTTTAAGAGATTTCACATTTTAAGAGTGAAATTCACTATATAAAAATTTTAGAGAATAAGACGAAAATTTTTTTGTCTGACTGCAAATCACTTATTTGCTACAAACAACAAAAATTTATTTATATTGCCGTATCAAAAATAATAAAAAGATTATTTCAAAATCATTTCGCTCATTTATTCCAACAACAGAAACTTAATTCCAAAAACAAAAATTGTCATTTTTAGTTGCTTACAAAAATAAGCAAAAATAAAGAAAAATAGTATATATACCTACCTTTATTTCTCTATAATTATTATTACACCAAAACTGCATTTGAAAGTTAATATTACCAAATCTTAACGATTCGAAATATTCAAACTTATATTTTGTGAAAAAATAAAGTTTTTTTGAGTTGTGTCGTTATTGTAGCAAATAAATGAAGTAATCTTATTTACTATCTTTAAGTATCTTATTTACTATCTCTCTCTTTAGTATAGCAATGAAACAGTTCTCTATAATAGTTTATAATCTAATAACGTACATTTTATACATATATAATTACTAATCTTGGTATTTCCTTATAATAACTAGTCCACATTCCAAGACCGAGGAATAATTATTTAAACTACATTATTAATTCAAACGGTTTCGTAATTACGTAGGTGAGTTAGGCGAGGAATGTATCGGCCGGCTGGACGACCTATCGACGATCGCCAACGTTCCTTTCCGAGCCAGCACGATTCTAGTCGGCATCGCGGTGATAATCGCGCTACTGGCGATCTGCGCAATGCTCATGTTCTTCTTTTGTCAAAGCACTACCGTGTTCTACATGTGCGCTTGGATGCAAGTGGTGTCAGGTAATTACCTTTCTGGATAATTATCCAGTCCCGCCTCAGAAAGCATCTCTAAGGCCGGTATTCATAGATCCAATCTTATTTCAAGATCGTCTATCTTAAGACGCTAATATAATTCCCTTATGAGCCTTATAGTATCTTAAGACTGTTTTAAATATAAGAATCGATTATGAATACCGGCCTAAAAGCACCAAATGTCGCATATGATAAGTGCGCGCCAAACACACGTTCCGCAACTGGCGCGTCTGCGTTAGAAAGCGCGCAATATTAGCTAGGCTAATCCTTGCGGACCGTTACTCGCAATCTCAATCGTAATTCCTTATCAGCGAGGTGCAATTGCAAATTGCGCTAATGCGCTAAGCCGGATCCCATTCACGCGGGGCCGGGAAGTGACGTAATCACCCTGTTTAACGCGCTTTATTGTGGTGAACTTTATCGATCAGTTTCATCTCTGATTGTGGAGATAACGATTTTAAAACGACGCCAGTCGGAAATTGCTCTCGTGTCATGGTCCCGCGCCTGCGAGAAACACTCTTTCGCAAAAATCTCGTAGGAGAGATCTTAAACGGGAGAGATCTCGTTAAACTTGTTAAATATGTGTGCCAAATAATTAAAAGTTATTTGCAATTTCTCGTTGTTCGAACATACTGTTCGTGAATATCGCATCGATCTTTTTACTCGGTTAGAAAGCGCACAGTAACCGCAGAGGATTGTCCAACGTTGCTTGCGTAACGGCTGAAATAATAATAATGGTATTGCAAGAATAACTGCTTCATTGATGAATGATGTGTCATCCGAGATGTCCACGTTGGCTGAATCGTTAGAAGAGTTACTAGGCAGTTTTCTGCATATATTATTTTCTTTTCAATACAATGTATTATTTCCTCTTCAATATATAGACTTCAAAAAGGGCATTCTATATATATATATTTTTTTTTAGAATAATAAAAAGTAAAAGACGTTACGATACAATAAATCTGTTCTTTTTAGCTGAACTTCTTGCATAGTTTATCCTTCTTCCTTTTCTATCTAAATTGGAGAAAAAAGAAAGAAAGATAAACCGTGATACAAACAAGAATTTGAGCTAAAAAGAACAGACCTAATGTTTTGCTTCTAAATGTACAGTCAGATTCCCTTTAAATCGAAATGCAGCTTTTGTGTTCTGCTTAACATAATTAGAAACGAATACAGCACATTCGCGCTAAATACACTCTCTGATACTTTCTCCAGATAGCTTTGCATTATCCGGACGCATGTATAACATTTAGCATTTCCGCGTCGCGATTTCTAAAGCTCATTGTCGGGAATGACTTCATGTCATCATTGGAACACGCGGTGTGTTTTCCTGCTTTATGGAATATCTCGAAATGCGCGCGCCCTGTATTGCACAGCATCTAGGCATTCGAAGGTTCTTCTTTTATAATTGTAATTGTAGCTGATCGTCGCCCGTGGGTCCCTGACGAATCGTGTGACGGCCAAGCGAAATGTGGAATAGACCGTTATAACGTGCCCAAGCCAGTCTGCGTATACCGTTCGTCAACGCCTCTATGATTAGCGTAAAACAACTGCAACCGTCGGTTGAGTCGATACCGACTCACCGAATAATCTATCGAGAATTTCTCTGTACAAGGTTGCATCCTAGTTCCGATCATTAATGTGTATCGAAACTAATTAGTTTTGCAACTAGGTAGGTGATCTATTTTAACGAAAACATAATTTTGATAAAATACATATATATATGTATTCGTGATTCGTAAGTAGTATCTCTAAAATATGCGTTTAAATTTGCATGTTTAGTCGGCTAAAGTTGTCAAACCGCGTTTTAATCATTTAATAAATTCGTTTACTTTTTATAATAAATTCTCGGTAATAACACAATTTATTCATGAAAATTGTGAGGTATGCACTAGATGCTGACTAACGAGTTGACGAGCGTATAATTTTCATTTAACGAACGTCTGGCGAATGAACATAAAACTTACACAACAAGCCTGAACGTCTGGCAACAAAGTTTCGGCAGTGTCAGCGATTCGTTGCGAGTAAGCACGTCGAGTCACGATAGTGAAAGTTATACGCCAAGTTGCGCTCATTACATAGCGTGAAACATGAAATGGAAAATGTATCACTATGAGAAACTACTTAAATGACATTTCAAGTATATAGAAATTATCTGTATATATAGAATATAGCAGCGTTTATCATTAAAGTATGAGGCTCTGAACCTGGAGTATACAAGAAGATTGCGATATGCGTTACAAAATCGTTAGAAAGTGTAAAGAGCAAGTAACATGCACAGGATATTGTATAACAGGCTAAAAAGCTAAACAGAATTAGCAAGAATAAATAGATTCAAATTATCAAATGAAAGACCATCAAAAAAAGAAGTTTATAAAATGCGAATAATAAAAGGCCGCAAGAGTGAAAACTACTGGTTTCCATTCATTATCGAGGTAGGTAATAAATGGAAAGTACAGAAATATGTAGAGTACAATGAAATCGAAGAAAATGATTGAAACCGAGCACTCTATGAAGACAATTATAACGCGTATTCTACTATGCGTGATTCGCGCATTAAAATCGCTCATTTGCTGGGAAACAATATCGTCTCGGCTCGCTGGTAAGTAAACGTAGCGAGTCCCAGAAACGTTACGGTTGTTCACAAGTCCCTTTCACTACCGGCCTCCGCATAGCCACCTGTACAATTACGTCCGTGTAAATGCGAAAGCACGATCCACGCCTCTGCCGCATCTAACTGCGATAATAGAATCGTAAGGATAAAAATAATTGAACTATAAGTGAGTCTGTATTATTAAAGTATATTGGATTTCCTGCCGTAATAAGTCCTGGCATTGATCTTTTAACATAGTCTTTATCGTTGAACTTTTTTCACGCTTTTATGCACTGTATAATTATCTCGAGAAAGCGAAAAAGTTAATGCACGAATTGCAGCGCGAGTAACATTTATAATCTATCAAGAGGCTTCCAGTCTGGATATGTAACTGGATATTCTTTTATGTAACTATAATTATATTTGGATACATCTTTCAGCAATCTGCATGGCAATTGGAGTGTGCATCTATCCTCTTGGCTGGGATTCGCCGGTGATTCGCGCCGTATGCGGTGCAGCTGCTTCCAGGTGTGTATTTGCGCAAACCGCATATGCATACGGTAAATAAAAACAGATATAAAGACAAGAGAGACTTAATGAAAAATATTTTTGAATGATACATTTCTCTTATACATTTGCGATTTTGGTTTAATTCTCATGAAAAAATGGAATTAATTATAGATCTTATAAGTATGGATTAGCAATATAAATAAGATTATGTTTATATTTATCTCTTTAAAAGAGTCCAGAAATACATTTCGTGCACGTTTGATATATTATATGGTGAATATATGTTTCATTAGGGTTCGTATAATTTTATAGACAATATGTATCATTTGTAATTTGGTATATAGAATGTTAATACGCTTATATTTACTCGATATACACAATATATATTTTGACTTTGGAAAAGAGAAATTGGAAAAAAAATTATGTTTCTTATACAGAAATTATAGCAATTGCCAGTTCATATACCTATAAGATCCGTGCAACTAATAAAGGATACTATCAATATGATGCTACAAATGCTTTAAAGCATTCTTTGATTAGTCATTTAATCAAATTCTTCTTTTTGATTAGTCAAATGCTTCTTCAAAACATTTGTAGTGGGATTTTGACCGCAATGAGTTTGACCAAATAAGTAGAATTTTATTACTACTTACAGTTGCATTTGCGAATTCATAAAAAATCTTTTTGTACTTTTCTGTTAATTTATGATATATATTTATAAAAAAGAAGTTCTTTTAAAGAAAAAGTCTATTCTATATTAAAAAGTTAGCGAAGCAATTTTCATTTTTTGAGAAGCTTTACAATAACATTAATTATCTCAATTAGACGCGCTTTTCACACGCAAATTATTGCGAAGCAATGAATAATAGAAGCATTGCCTTAAAAGTTGGAAACATAATCGCGATAACAATGAACGTGAGAAAAATAGCACTCAGGAAGTTATTCTTTTGACAGATACAATCCTGGTGCCTGCGCTGTGAGATGGGCAATACCACTCGCTGCAATCGCGGCTCTGGATGCAGCTACTTTGTCTGCTCTTGCTTTCATTTTGGCCTCTAGACACGTGAGGCTACAACCAGAACCTTTCAATAATGGATCTTTGTACAAAGGTGATTAATAGCGAGTAATTAAAAAAATATTCATTTTTCAAAAGATTTTAATTTTTAATTCAAATATAAAAAAGGCGTCAGAATAAAAATTCAATTTAAATATATACATACTCATTAGTCCTTTATCATTTAAATTGAATTTCAATTTTTATTAAAATCTTTATGATTTCTGAATACTTGTTCGTTTTATATCCTCAACATGAAATAGCGCATAGTCAATTTTCCATTTTTAGGTGAAGTAAATCCGGGCTATGTGAATGAAGCTCAAAGTGTAGCTGGCTCTCGCAAGTCTCTGTCCTTGAGACCTGTTCTTCTAGTGGCCCCACCTGAACAGGACCGCTACAGCGAGCTCTCTAGAGCAAAATCACACTCGCATCACAGTCTCTACACACCAGCGCCGTCGCATCCAGCGCACACCATGTCTACGAATACTCTCAATCATTCGCAGCACAACTTTCAACTCTAAAACGACTGATTGCTGCGAATACAAAGGATTAAATGGACCTGTATATAGCTGATGAGATTGGAGGAAAAGCTATATTGTACATAAGATGAAACGGAGCGTGAAACTTTGATAGAATGTACGCAATTTGAATTGCAATTGCTTAAGATATAGCTTTCGCGATGTTAAGTTTCTAAGAATGGAATTTTTGTTAATGATGATAAAGCTATATGTATAAAACAAATACGACTGTTTCATTTAATGACTGAATATTATTATTTGTTGTGCCGTGAACATTTCCACATCTATGTGGTGTATAGTCTATCTTATCGATATTTGTGTCGCAAAGAAAGAACTGTTTTCTCTTTAATTTACATTAACTTTTTATAAATATACAGTTAGAACAAGAGTAAGTAATAAAGTATAAAATTAATAAAGTATAAAGTAATAATGGTATAGAAAATCTGTTAAATGTAAAATTAAATATCGTTTAATTTTGCGTGAAAGAATTTCTTTCATTAAAATAAAAATGGAATATTTTTCCATTTAAATATTCTCTTAATTCTATCCTAAGAATCTCATGTTTGTATTTATATTAGTATATGTTATGTTCATGTAATTAGAGACAATATAATCAAGCAATGTCGTTTTAATATTATGTATTAAGTTTTCTAATATGTTGTGTAATGCATGTCAAATGATAATTTAAAAGAAAATTATGATAAAATTTTATAGATGTTATAAATCCATATCGTATTATCGGAGCAATTTATACATTATTCATATTACGTAATTTTTTAAGTCCCTAAGTACTCATGATGTGCCTTTACGATGTAGTATTGATAATAATTATGAATTAAATTTTTTATTACTAAGTTACTATTTTGTGAATATTTTACTATTAAATGGAACACTCATGCAATTCCATAACTATCGACAGAATAATGTATAAAAAAGCATAATTTACATGTAGATTCTTCTCTTCGGTGTGCGATATCATAATACCAAAAAAAATTTAATAATTATTCATAAACTGTCGGACATAAAAGTTGTTGAAAATGATTGCATCGACTAAACTAACAATAAGATGCGTATTTTGGTACGTGATATTTTGTATTGCTATAATTTTTTTGTAATCTTGTAATGTTTTGGTATATATGCATGAAATATGGCATAAAGACGAGCAAGATAAACATGATACATATCATTTTGACTAGTGTATTTAATGATATCATACAGAATAAGTTTATATTACGAGTATTATTTAATTGATAACTTGTATAATTTTACGCAACGGTCTCCGTAGGTCAGCGACGGAAAAACTTGAAGCTATAATGAATCCGTAATTATTTCAACACTTTTTATCTTAATATTGTTAATTAAATTGCGATTTAAATTAAACGTCATTTTCGTCATTTGATTTAAATCGTTGTTTAATTCTTTAATTTTTTTCTTTTCTAATTCTAAAGAGATCATTTTTTGGAGTTTACGGACCAACGAGACTGTTCGGGCGCAATTATTATTGTACAGAACTATTATTCTAATTATCAGATTCTATATGAGCATTCTATGCAGCGACAAATAGATATATAAAAATCATCTTTGTCAGTCTCTCTCTCTCTCGATAAGAGATACACAAATTCAAATTTTCTTTATTATTAAAATTTTTAAATATTCAAATTTTATTTATTATTAAATTTTCTTTTGTCTTTTTCTGGATTACAAATAATTTGACGCATGGAATGCTCATTAATAGTGAGTAAAATTTTACATCGTCTAAATCTAAAATAAATATTTTAGGCAAATGCCTATGCGAGTAACGGGCCTTTTTCTTTTAGGACGTGTTCCACACTCATCTTAAGATCTAATAATCTCCGCGTATGGCAAATAAAAGGGAAGTTTGAACGTTAGCATATATTAGCTTCCGCTTATAAGACAGCCAGTATAAGTACAGGGGTGCGTCACCCGCGTTTCCCTTCATGTACGATTTGTCGGGATGATTTGCGACGAAAGTTTTTCGAAGAAAGAACCATAAATAAAAGGAAGCGCAAAAATCGAGATTACTTCCACGCTTCTTGTAAGATCAAGACGTCACCCCGAAATAGCCCGCGAGCATGCAATCGGCGGCAGGCGTGAGGGAACAAAACAAGTAAATCGTTCGGCAATAAAGTACTAGAGTTTTATAGTGCATTAATTAGTTCGCGATGAGGAACGAGATACAAAGGTTTACAACGTTGTAAATGCAAAGGGGTAGAGAAGAGAGGGAAGGAGTTGGGGAGACCCTACCGACCGCTCGGTAACACCGCTATTTAATACTTTTTTTTTACGCGAGCGATGTATCGTATTTTACAAGGTATACACACGGCGTGTCCACGTATGACACCCTCAACCGAATCCTTTATGGCTTTACTGCGCCGCCACCGCGGCTTCTTATGTGTACGTCTCCATCCGCGTGCTTTACAGCCGTTTGTTTATTAGGCTTTCATTTAATTGCCCGATCTCCGCGCCATGTATAACGGCATCGCGCGGCTATTTCGCACCGAGCTCTAAAGTGCGAACTACAATGGAGACGCGGACGCATAATTGCCTGCGTTCAACGTTCTCTTCCGAGCAATACCGTCGAGCGGGCTGCCAAAGACTTGTTTCAAGATTCAGCTTGAGCTAAGCTAGATTAAAATGTTTCCGCTGTCTGAGACTTTTATATCGCGCATTTTCCTTTGTGTGTCGACGGTTATTACGAGTTATGTCTCGACTCTCAAAGGTGGAATGTACAAATGTCGAATTTTATTGCGTGACGTGATAGCTTGGAAGTGCTGAATTTCTTGCATCAACATTGGCGTGGTAATTACCGCCCGGAAATACTGGCAACGTTAATTGATATTTCACCGCCTGTGATTCGCGATCGACTATTCAAGATAAATCAGTGAAAGTATTGGAAACTTCTCCCGGATTTCCAAGCATTTTTCTTTTTCTTTTATCGGCCTTAAGTAGCCATACGCAATTACAGAGTTAAGCGAAATCTTAGATTCTCGAAGCGGTTAACAGCCGTGTACTGATCGCCAGGAAGAAACGGCGATCGAGATTAGCAACGCGGAACAAGAGGAATGAAAATAATTTAATTATAAGTTAACTTACACAAGGATTACATATATATATAATTCACTAAGTTATAATCGACACTACAGTTTTTCGATTCTAATATTACATATGGCGCTATCTTTTCATTTTACTTCACGAAACAACCATATTCTCTGTCTCTCTATCTCTCTCGAAGGAGAAATAAGAAGCTTCAAAAATCATCTGCTTCTAATCTCTTCTATCAAACTCCTTAGTCGGTACTCTAAGTTAGATGTTAGACATCTAAGATATTCGCTACTTCTCACTGTATCCACAAGGATTACTTATCAGGTGCAAAGAAATTACTTTCAAGTACATGTGTCGCAATAGTGGTACTAATCTTCTGCTACTTCCTCTTGTTCAATTTTCATCGAATTTTATATCGTACGATTTTTCTTTACACCTGTTAATAATGTTATAATACTACACACGTACCTATATGGCCAATGATGTACGTTTACACTGTATAATGTCCGTCAGAGCAAGAATTCACTGCTGATGAATCTAGATGTAATCCATACTTCACATAACTCAAAGCGATATGTACTTGCTCCGACAACAGCGTTCCATCTCCTTGGATAAGATTAATTTAACAAAGATTTTTTAGATTTCCTTGCTTACGATAATGCCGCACGGTTGGACTACGCCGATGTTGGGCAATCTCGGCCTTCTGGACGCAGATTTGCTCTCGTCTTTCTTGAGCAACTCCTCTATCGAGTAAGGATTCTTCTTCTTTTGCGGCTGTGGCGGCTGATTCTCCATCGCCACTCCTTCGTTCGTCGTCATCGTCGTGCCTGGACTCGTGTTCTTCGCCTCGTGAATCCTGTACGATGCCGGGGAATCCCGCTTCGACGTCTCAATGATCGACATTGGACTTTCTCGCGGATTGTCCGAATTCGTGGTGTGTGAATTGGGCGTACCGTGCCTGACGAATGCGCTTCGATCGCTGCCGATTTTCTGGCTGAGTTCCAGGATAATCGGCGTGCTTCGAAAAGACTTGTAATGATCTTGCGATTCGACCAAGTTCTCATCCAGATCGCTTTTATCCAGCGAATCATCGCTGCCGGCCGTCGAGCTCGAACTCGATTTCAGCTCCAGTTGATTCTGTGCGCCGTTTTGCTCCGACAAACGTTCGGCATCTAAAGGTCTGTAAAAATTAAAACTAATTATGGTATCACATCTGTAGAATGAATTATATATATTCCGTATCACCAAATTCCATTGTGACGGACTTACGCGAAGGATTGCATTCCATGTTGCAAATGTAAGGTGGTCGCTTGATAGAGAGACGAGTAAAAGCTTTGATTCCACGACGACGTGCCAGTATTGCCAGTGTTCGTGGAAATGTGTAATGGTCCTAGAGCACCCGGATAGAATAGTTGATAATCCGTTCTCATAAGTGCATCTGCAGAGAAAATAATTGCAATTTTTGTGTTGCTTTGCATCTCTTAAAAAATTTCTTACGTTTATAAATGAATATTATCAAAAATATATTTATCAAAAACTATGAATACGTATTCCGTGCTAACTTCACAAATCTATATTTGTGAAATTATTACGCCGTTCTATTAAAAAAAAAAACGAGGATTCACAGAATCGAAATGGAAACTGCATGAACGATTTTTTAGCGATTGATTTTGTCCGCTGAATTTTCATGTCTGAAGAGGGCTCAATCCGAGAGCCGAAACTGTAACGTTCTTTATATATTTTTTTATATTTTTATGCTCATTTCTATTTTAATATTGAGTAGTGTTTGAATAAATTTTATTGAAAATGACTGATTATATATTTTATTGTTAAACGAAAATTCTTATACTGACTCTTTAATCGCCCTTGACATCATTTTGTTTATTAAAAAAAAATAATAATAATGATTATTGTTTCAATATAGTATATATATTTTTCATACAGTTCTATTTTTCATATAGTTCCTTATCAAAATAAAAAAAGTTCATTTTTTATAAAAAATCAAAACTGAAAATATGGCGTGCTAATTTCACCTCAGTGAGAAATAATAATGAAATCGACATCAAAGAGTGATGTCGATTCGAGATCGAAATCATCAATTCGACGTCAATTCCATTGTGATTTCTCACTAGGACGAATCTAGTACGAAACTTTTTCTCTACAAAGTACAAAAGAAAAAAAGATTTTCACCTTTGGCTACAACATTGAGTGTTTTTTATTATATAATAATATATTCGTATCGATTCAAAGTAATATTTTAACAAGACACAAAGATTAATTCCTTTCGAAATATTAGAAAGAAAACTGTCACTAAACGAAATTTAAGAGAAAGATGAAGACGAAAGAGTCCGGACACTCGTTTCGTAATTAGCTGCTCAAAGCCGGTAAATTGAGCACCGCTTCCAGCATCCAGCGGCACAAATTGCGAGGTAAATTTTCCGTTTCGACAGCATAGGCTTGCGTGTCTGTTGCCCTGCCTGGTCTGCGTGGCTTTTGCTGACGAGTCAATCACGGCAATGGGGTATCTCGAAAGATTTACCCTCTTCGCCCCTTCCCACCCTCTCCCTCCCGCTTGTCATTCTCGCTATTCTTCTTCTTCGATGCGCTCGTCATTGCCGTTTTCGGACATTTATCGTCTTTCTTCTGGAAATAACCGCAAAAAAAAGAAATCCGCGAAACGGCGATTCCACGCTAGGGACAGGTGTTTAAGGCGTTATTAGTTTGTAATGGTGCATTCGCAGCAACGCAACTATATATAATGATTCAAAAAGCTTCACAACAAAAATATGCGCCCGCGTGTCCCTTACTCAACTACATCTTTTTTTTTATTCAGTTTAATAGCCGACTTTGCAAATTAACATTACTGTCCGTAAACGCTAATGAAGGATTGTCTGGCTACAAGCGATTTTATCAAAATTCTACGAAAGAGAAGGATGTGTGTGTGTAATGTCTCCCTATATATGTTATCTCATTCTAATTTGCCCTAACTTATACTGTTTCACTCTACAACTTTAATTAAGATTACCTTTTCTTCTCTTAGGATTTTGACAAAATCACTCGTGGCCATAAGATCTCTAGACTTGATCTCTTTGATATCATACTTTACCTCTAGCTCCAGCGTTCGACGGAATTTGCGACGTATAACCACCAGATGCACCGCCCTCAATGGAAGGGATATCAGTATGAAGCCCACCACCTCTGAGAATACGATTAACCGATGATACGGAGGGTAAGCTCTGGGGATCACAAGCTCCTTGTCGCGCGAGCTGTTCGCGGATCTCCCAGGCAAACATTGTCGGCTGCTCTTGCTTCATCCGTAAAATCTTTTTCACCACCGTTGGCGTAGCTACTTGCTACAAGATAAATAAAATATAAATTAAGTATATTTATAAATAAATGTATAGAGATATCTTATTTATTGTGCATTATTTTTTCACGAAGTCTTTAATTACTTAAAATAATTTTTTTTCTTAACAAAAATGTTAAAAAGAAAATCATTTATTTAACTCATATTTTTAATTCTTTAATATTATATATTTCTGTAATTAAACTTTAAACTTTTTAAAATTTTATTTTGAGATAAATTATAAATTCTAAAATTGGTTGTAAAATGTATAGTTTTATAAATTATTTATTTGTATATAGAAATTTAATTCGTAGAAAGCTTTTTTTTTGTTATTTAGAGCTTGAAAATTATCGTTGCTTTGAAATCATAGTTTTTGCTAAGAAAAAATTGTCTATAAATATAAATTGACTAACGAATCTAAAAAGTGATGCGCGAGAAGTGAAACACGTATAAATTAGTATGAAACAATAGTGAAAATCCCAAGACATCAGTGATTCCAACTTTATCAATTTTATAATACAAACACGTTACTTAACATTTGTTTTGTATTTTACTTTTCATTGTAAAAAAACATTTTTATCAATTTTAGATACTTGTGTACACCTTTCGTAAGGATATTTATCAGTGACAGGATATCGTTGTTAATCATTCCGTTCTTTTTTAAAGACAAACCGCGTGTGTTATCTCATCGACAAATTAACGCAAACGCAGTCACACCATCGTTATAGCGGATCGCACACGCATATGTTGTTCACAGGTGAAGAGCACGACTGGGTCGTCAATCAGATAGCGAGGAGAGTCCGTCCGGTGCGGTGGGAAGGTACTACCTATTTTATTTCGGTTTAGCCCCCGTTCGCCAAAGAAACGGGTTGTCCAGTCAGTTGGTACCGTGCACCGGTGCCGTTGGCTGCCACGAGGCCCACCATCGGTTTCGCTTCTTCAAAAGGGGGCCCCAGTGGTGCTCAATCTGGCCGCACGACTAATTTGACTTGCTAATGAACGGTAATGGCACACAGATAATTTTATGCTAACGCGATGGAAATGTTATTCCGGCCGTACAGATTTTGAGATCGCCGATCTCTTTGGGAGCGATGTCAGGCGTGTTGGCGCGAGCGAGACGCACCAAGATCTCGTTCGAGAAAAGATGATCATCTTCACGGGTTCATGCTCAAATCCATGCGGGGGTTCGTACACGATTCATATACATGTGTGTACGTATCGAGCGGAACGATATCACCAAACTGGCTGTCGATTACCAGCACCGATCTCATTTCGCGAGAAGATCGATGCCTCGGCGTTCCGCGCGTCCATAATCTGTGCTCGGTCGCGTGGGCACGATACGATCTTCCTCGACAAATTGTTTCGAAGAGGAACAGAATAAATATTGCGGTGCATCGATCGGACAACGATCGATACGATCGGCATAAAGGCAAACCGTCGGACGTCGATTGATGTGCTCGGTAAAGCCAAGAGAAATTATAAACCTTGAATTACAGGGTCGACGTAAATTTTCTCGCGTGATTGCTTATCGTAATCAATTTCTTCTCAAGAAAAATGTGTTATTGGTCGGACATTGAAAATAAGTTTTAGTCGAGAGCAAGACAAACTCGAAAACTAACTAACAAAGCATCTTTCTCTTATTTCGAGTTTGGATACACTAAACAAATTCTAAATAAAAATATTAATAAAAATACTAAATAGATTTCAATAAATATTTGTTTGAATAATTCTACGTGAATATAGATGTAAACATATAGATATTTATTTGATAGAAAAACTATTAATTTAATTATAATTCTTTTCGTTAAGTAAATATTTATTTATTTTTATCGTAAGTAAAAATGTTTACTTAGTCCTACTCGAAAGAAATATACAGTTTTCAGTGTAATAATCATGTGAAACCGTTTAAAATTGTTACAATACAGAGGTAATATGAAATAATACAAGATGTCATTATCCGAAGTACTTGCAGGTGGAAGCACCACTGGCAGGAACGTTTAGGGGCTAGTGCCTCAGGGGTAGCGAAGAGTCGGAGAGGGCCGCCTAATAGTTTGAGGGGGTTAGGACAAGCATCGCGTGCTCCCGGGAGCATCTCAGATTCTAATCTGACACTTCCGTCGTCGTTGCCACAATTACCCCTGCTCCGACAATATATACGGTGCGTCCTAATGCGGACCCTCACGTTGCCGTTCGGGCACATCGAAGCGCGGACACGCACGTGAGCATGCGTTGCACGTGTACATGTACGCGTGTGTGTTACCGTCGGAGGAAATTGGCTGGACAGAATGGACATCTGGCACTAAACGTTAGATAACCCGCATATACCCGGGCCGTGTACATACGAACAGGTTCACCAACTCGGTAATTATCGCGCGTAAGTTGCGCGCCCCGCGCTACATGCGCCCCGAATGCCCCGAGTGCTCGTGAATGATAAGGGCAACGACGACCGTCGACACCTTCCGCCCCATTTTTCCCATGCTACCTGGACACGCCAGTGTCGTTAGAAATGAGAGGCGATTGATTTGTCATCAGAAAAGTGAAACAGAAGCGAAAAAAGTATATAAAGAAGATTTAAATAACGCAACAGAACAATTTTGCTAGAATATCTAAAAGTCTAAGGAGATAAAGTTCTGAAAATAATTTTGTTGAATCATTAAAATAATTATAGAAAACTCAAATTAATACATATCGCAATAATAATGATTAATTTGATGTATCTTTGTCTTTTATTATTAACAAACTCATCAAGCATGATGAGAATAATGCTGCAAAAAAGTTTTTATATTCTAGCAAAATCAGTTTGAACATCCTGTCTAATTATTTTGTTAGACTTAAAAAATCATTTTCTGATATAATTTAGTTAAATTTTTAAATATTTTTGTGTAAAACGATTCGTTCTTTTTAAAGTAAACGCTATCAACTGCGAACTCTCGTTTAAAACAAGACTTTATGTTCGCGTCATGGGAATAAAACGCGATTCGCTCCTATTTGTCGCGGTGTTTCAAGCGCTGTTAAATCATGCATCGAGAAAATAAATACATGTCCATGAGCGGGGACGGTCAGATACGCGCGTATTTCCGTCAAGACCACGAGCGAGATCTTAATTGCCAGATAAACGGAGAAAACGCCCGATGGTCGAGTGTGAACCGCGAAGAAAATAAATATTCCGTCGGGGTCGAAGCCGTGACAATAATCATTTCCAGATAGGAGTGGAATTTCATCAACGGTTTCGAGCAACTCGTGAGATCGCTATCGAATGCGAGAGTAAAGAGAGTTAAAGCGTCACTAGAAGGGTATACTTTGTCGTATCATTCAGTTGTTATATGAGAGAGAGAGAGAGAGAGAGAGAGAACTTTGGACGCGTTTCGCGTACGTGGAGAACGAGGCGGATCGCGGCGATTTTTTCCTTGATGTTCCACTTTATTATCCGCGGCTGCAACGCGGCTTGTACATTTTTCATGAGACAATTTTCTCTGTCGTGCCGCCGGATTATTATCCGACGCGTATCACGTTAATGCGCACGCGTGTGTATGACAGGAGAGAAAAAGAGAAAGACAGAGAAAAACAGAGAGAAGTAACGGAGAGAACATGTCTCGAAAATATTACGTACCACACCCAAGTACACGTGTAGATTCGCCGATAGTTGGTCGATTAATTTCGCGAAATCGCACGCTAAATTGCATCGTGTACGATGGAACGACGAGATGGAGAGACTGGATCGCGCATCACTGGAATTAATCTTTCACTCTCGAAAGTGCGAATTTAATTAAACACTGCTATTGGCTCTTACTGCAAACATGCGTAAGTCGCCTCAGGGCGCTTAATATAAAATACCTGGGGGCCTATTTTTGAATACGACGTAATGTATACTATAGAATTTTCGTACGTGATACTTTTTCAGAAATAAGCCCCTATGAGCTCGCAGTTTACACCAAATTCGCGCATGGGAAGATCATCTGTGACCGAAGGGCAATATATCGTGGAATACGCGCGCCGAGGAGGGCGCGGAAAGTCGTAATAACAGACTTAAAATGGAGAGCAACGTTATCTCGACGAGGCACCGTTCATCTTTCGTTACTCAGCAGGAAAATGGAAATCGTCGAGAGGGGAGGAGACAGTTAAATGCTGGTTCTCGATGAGTTAATACTGCCAGGCAATCAAAGGGTTTACCTAGTAGCCATTATTTAATTATCGGCGTAATTTTAAATTGCTGTAAAAGCCACTTACAGACAGGGATAGTGACGAGCCACCGACTCGGCGTGTTATCTAATAACGATCTCCTCGAGAAAGAAGATCCTTTGTGTGCACGATAGTGGGCGGGCAAAGAGAATGGTTGCGCGTGCAAGACGAGTGACTCGATCCTTCGTGCATGCTCGCTTCTCTCAAAAGGGGCTCCTCGTATGTCTTCCTAATTTCTCACCCAAATTACTAAAGGTTGCCGTTTACTTGTCGTAAAGAGGAAAAGAAAAAGCGACGAATTCGGCTGATCGCGTAGATCCCGGTTAAAAAAGACTTCAGGACTAAGCTGTATTAAGCGCGCAACCATTATTTCACCACGGGACTATTTTGACATACATGAAATAAAACGAACGCCGGTAATGGCAGATGATGACTATCGTTTACATGCGCCCGTAATCGGCCCCCTTCCTCGTGCCACAGCCGGAATTTAAATGTCCTCTTCAGAATTTTAAAAGCTTTCTCTCTCTCTCTCTCTCTCTCTCTCTTTCTCTCTAATTTTTCTGCTTATGTTAAATTTTCTTTTTTTTTAAATTCTACTTTTAATTTTATACCTTTATCTGCAGTTTTGTTCATTATCTATCTTATATCTTCATTATTTTTTCTCATCTCCATATTTATTTTACTTTGTACAATAGATTTTATTATTTTATCACCGTTTTTCATTTCATTTCCTTTTTACTTATCATTTTTAGATTTTTAAAGGACTTGTCTTACAATATTAATAAATTTATCTTTATCTATCGTACCAAACTCCAGCTCGCAACTTAAGGAAGGTCGATGCACGCCGACGCGGCATTATTAAAATAAATTCATTAAGCACAGAGTAATAGTCCGCGGTCGGCGCATCGTAAGAAATTCTCAGTGCATAATGCGTGTACGCACCGTGCAATTATATTGTCATTAGCGGCATGTGTGCGCGATACGGCGGGCGTCGTCGGTGCAGCTTCGCGATGCGCACCCGGGGGGCGAAATGGCGTTTCCGAGCCAGACACGTGAGTACGTTATGCGATAAAAACTTGCGTCTTGTCGTTAAGCTTTACGAGTGTGATTACGATCGAACGATAGAAATGTCAATGTGTCCCACGATTTCGCGAAATCGATTTCGATTACGAGATGTAATTTCCTTGTTGCGGCGGTTTTTCATTAATTTATAGCGCAACATCGGGCACATCACTCAATATCAGCGAGAAAACCGTGCAAAGCCATAAAATTATGCAAATACTAATTACGCGCACTGCCAAGTGTTTGGATAATTGCACGCGCACGGTCAAAACGCAGCCCTTACTTAAAATCACATCAGGAATGCCTGACTTTGTACGTGCAGGGAGAGGACTAACTCTCATCAGAGCCACCGCCCGCTAAGGCACACTGATGCGTGATCGTTTTAAAGTGTTTTTGCGAACCACCGACATTAATCTTTTCCTGAATCTTACCCTTAGAGCGCATTTTATGTCGAACATCCGTAATTTTCATTTTCAAATAATTTTTTTATTCGGATTAAATTTTCTCTAAGATAAAACCAGCAAATTTATTAAACTATCTTGTCTTGTGAAATTTCTGAATATATTTTCAGTAAGTTACCAAAAAATTTGGTATTTAAAATATTGTACTTCATACTTCATTCTAATGTTTTTATGTATGACATATGAAATGTTTTTATTTTATATATTTGTAATAATAATAATAATAAATTACTCAATACGCAGATATAAAAAATTCCATAATTACAATTAAAAAGGTGTGCGATTATACATTTTAATGTATAAAAAAAAAACGATTTTGCCGAAATGTCTAAAAATTTAGATAGATACGGATCTAAAAATAATTTTGTAGAAAATTCAAGCATGATAAGCAATGCTACAAAAAGTTTGGACATTCTAGAAACCAGCTTGAGCATTCTACATAATTATTTTGACAGTCCAACAAAATTTATTTTCAGATCTGTATCTGAAATAGTTGAATTTCTAAATACAGAACCATTATTGCCATGTATTCTTAAAATGGTGGATTTTGATCAGATCTTACCTTCGTCTTGCTTCCGCCGATGCTGCCAGGTCGGATGCTTCCCGTCTCGTAGAATCTCGTGAGTATCTTGGAGACGCAGCCATGGGACACAAGTAGCTGTCGGGAAATATCGCACGGTCTGACGCCGACCATGGCGAGCTGCACGATTCTCTGGCGCACGCAGTCTGGCAACGGCCTGCCGTTCACAAAGACGCCGCCTAATTGATTCACCCCGGCTTGCCCTGGAAGAGCAGTCAGTCAGTCAGTCGCGTTATTGTGTTAATGGGCGACATAACGATGGCGCGATAAGTCGACCTGAATCTCCGAGTAGCGATTCAAGATTTCGCGTTGAGCAGCAAAAGGTGTTTATCGATTCAGAGCGAGGATAGTCGGAAATCTGTTAATAATGCGCTCGCGGTCGTCCGGGAAGTTCGGCAGGTGCATCCTCTGACGTGCGGTCCTGGCTGGCCCTCTAATGACATTGTTATAACGAATATCACGGGAAGAACCTTCTCTCCCTGTCTTTTTGTCCGGCGAAGATATGTCATTATTTTCAGTAATATTAGGAAGATCGTGTAGCGGTTGCAACGAAATCCCGACGTCTATACTTGAAGGCCGTTTCTATAGTAATTATTTTGTTCGGTTTTATGCAACAAAAATATATTATAATTAAATGTTCGTTAAAATATGTTCCACGGCTATTGTATCAACACTACTATAGGAGAGATCTTCTACAAAATATTAAACTTATTTCGTGTGAGAGAGAAGACGCTATAAATTATTATACTTCCTGTTTATGCGAATCGTCATTTTAACCAAAGTTTAGTCAAAACTTCCTCAAATTTTAAATACGTAATTAGGTGATACTTTATTATGAAACAACTTTCTGTTCATTAAAATTTGAAGACTTTAAAATGTCGTATGTTAAAACGTGGTGTTGGAACTGATAAAAAAATTAACATAATTCGAAAATTCGGGATAAAGTTTAGGATCCATCGGTGATGCGTAAAAGTTAATTGGGATGAAACGTTAAGACGAGGACGAGGCCTCTCGCAAGTGGCCGTTTTAGAAACCATTTTGTTTTTTTCTTCTTAATATTCATATTCATAAAACGTGTAATCGCATAATTTTCATATTCAGCAGCGCGTGAATATGAAATGCACAATGTGTTGCGGACTTAAATCATGGCAAACGACAAGTTATTTACACATTGCATGCGCGACACGTCGTACAGCCGACGCAGCACACACTTGTCGAAAATTTTATAAAATCGATATTATTCCCCCGCAGTGGTGTCGTAAAACCATAATGACCGTCTCGCCGCGAGCAAATAAAAACGCCAATTGATCACCAATTTTATGTTCCGCCGTCGAAAATGAACGGCTCGAACTATCCGCAACCTAACGCGCGCATTAAAGCGTCGAATAAAATTTGAGTTATATATGATAGTTTTCCGTTTGTCTTTTCACGAGACACTATAGACATTGATTAGAAGTTCGGAAAGACTATAGAACAGGGGCTCACTGTTGTATTAAAACTGCATCATAAATCCTCGATAAGCTTATTTCACACTCGAAGAATCCTTAATTTTCGTCTCGAAACGATGTCGACGCGAAGTTAACGGCATAATTATTACGGACGATTCGGAATTTCATGGGAATCTCTGTCGCTTAATATTCAGCTTGCCATTTCAAGTTGAATTCTAATCTTAAATATGCCCCAACAACTTTCGGCAGCGTGAAATTCGAATTCGAAGAAAAACACTCTTGCGTGTCTTAATTAATCTGTCGTCATGCCAGAGAGTGACCACATGAAATATACAGGACATTTTCGTAATTATAATTAAATTTTAATAAGGTAACCCTCCTGTCACGACATTAAGTTAGAAATCTTAATGATATTGTTGCAATAATTGTTGCAATACAAGAAGAGGAGGGAGAGGATATAAGCAATCTGGCCCGGTTGCAGTTCTGCATCGATGCACCGATGGAGATAATTGACGGTCATATATGAGTTTAACGAATAATAACTTGCCGCGTAATGGGAATAATCGGTTTTATTTCTCGGCGATTATTATCGACGTAACTGGAACCAAGAGAGAGAAAGAAAAAAGAAAGATGAGGGCCTCACGCAGAAGCGGCGTTACTAACGATGGCCTCTCCTTCGTGAAAGAAAATATAAAAGGGCGAAAAAGAGCAAAAGCATAAATGCCATGGGCGACTTATATAAATCGAGCCACGCGCCTTCACGTAGACGCGTCCGGATGCACCAGGACGATCGCTAATTATTATCCGCGCCGACTAATTATGTCATTACCACGATCACTGACGCCGACAGACCTCCAAACCAGCTTGAGAAATAATGATCTCTCGAGCGGCCGCGTATTCGAGCTAAAGAAAAGATTTTCGTCAATCTTTTCCACTCTCCATTACTCTCGAATTCCTCGAATCCGAGCTTTATTTGGCGTTTTATGGACTAATTGACGAGACGATCGCGATCACTCTTCTGTCAGTGATTCTCTCGTATTTCCCCGAACGAGCTTCCACGCTCTGGGAAGCGAATGATCAGTGCGATTATACTCGTGAGATGCCGAGTTTTTTATACGCCTCTGAGATTTTATATCTGCGGGATAATTCCTAATAATTTTCCTTCCTAATAGATTATATATATATATATAATATATATGTATGTACGATTTTTAAATTGGAAGATAAAAATCTCTTCCAATTAATGCGCCCATTAGCCGTTTATTCGTGTAAGCGCAGTCTCCGCGAAAGAACCATTACACGTCTCGGCCGAAATTACGAAATGCTTCTACAATTTCATGACGTCCTCGCAAGAGTGAGAACGGACGTGACGCTCACAGCGGCGAGCTCGCACGAAGTGGGAATTGCTGATAATGACCACCGGTCGAAGGCGTGACGGATTGTCCTTATTGGATAATTTAAGGGTCTTTCGATTGGTGACAGGGACACACAGCCGGTAAGACTCATTTTCGGAGAAATTACCTTTTGGAGAAATTACTTCCGGAGAATGTGCGTCTCGCGTGCTCGCATGTGCCTTATTCATTAGCGGCTATATATTGAACTCGCACATACATGTGACGATGCATTTTCTTTACCAATAAATAAATAAAGAAAGAAATTTTGATAGATTTATCAAACTGAATTTGGTGCATGCCGCTAATGAATTAATTTTGCATGCGTTCAATCATTTTTATGTAATTGATTAATTATCATCTATCCCTTAATGTACGTGCCCTTCATTCGTTCTGCACGCCGGACACACCAATCTGTGACGCGCGTTTGCACCACGAAAATTATACACGCTACGGCATTTCGGACAACGGGAGACGAACGACAACGCGCAAGCGACGGACACAGTGCAGCGGGCCAAATTATTATTACGGCAAAAACAGGCCAAAATGGCATCTTTATCTAACTGCAAATCTGCCCCGGTGGATCCGCGAAATAATGGAACCGAGCAGTAACGGCGGCGGTTCTGGTTGCGCTGCGCATCATAAGTAGCATGGAACCACTCGTTTACGTGAGATAAAAAGCGCAAGCACGGAAATCGGAATACCGGAAACGCGCGATTTGTAAAGAGGCTAAAGCGAACAGGCGAACAAGATGGAATTGGTAAAAAAGCTACTCAGAACTACGTTAGAGACTGCTACGCGAACGTAATAGCGTTCGAAATAACTGTTATCTCTAATAACGGCATGGGATGTTAATAAAGGCAGGCGCCTTTGCAATAATTAAAGACGCGATAAACCGCCGGCTTCTCGTAAAACGCAGATTGGATGTGCGGACGATCTAGTTTATTAAATAGATACTACACGCTATATTAAATGCGCAACTTTTCCAGTGATGAGTACTTCAAGTGCACTTTCCGTCTGCGGAATAACCATTGGATTTTTTAAATTATATCTTGTTCTTTTCATTTAATCATTGCCTAGGTCATTATACCTAGTTTATTTTACACGGGAAGAACGGTTTTGCTCAAGTTCTAAAAATTTAATTAGATATAGATGTGAAAATAATATTATTCAACTATCTAAATAATTATGTAGGACGCTCAAGTTAGTTGATAGAATATTAAAATATCAAATTTGTTTGCAACATTGCTCAATATGCTTGAATTTCCTACGTAATTATTTTGGTAATTCAATAAAATTATTTTCAGTATTGAGCTAAATTTTTAAACATTTCGATAAAATTGTTCTTTCCATGTAGCAAACATTTTTATAAATATTTTTTGTTTAAAAATTAAAAATCACTCTATCACGATATTTAAAAATTTAGAAGTTATTTTAGAAAACTATATTACTATATTCTTATACACAACAGAGACAAAGTGTACAAGAATCGTATCAATCTATTAATTTTATATACATATAGTGCTCTCCTTTCTTTTTCTGTTTTTTTTTGGTAAGTTGAAAAGAGGTTTTATAAAATTGTTAAAGTAATTTTATCGACCAATTCCCAGAGTAATTAGAGATAATAATTTTATATAGGGGGGAGGATAAACCATATTTTTAGCTCCTTTCATATTTACATATTCCCTTTCTATTTACATTTCCTTAATAGAGTGCAAATTGTCAAACTATGATTGTAAGATTTTTTTACGAATATGCACACGGGGATATCTCTCGTGATGTAATACTGACTTAACTTAGAATTAGCCAGCTAATGCAATCACCAACAGCGATCGCTATCGTACTGGCCATTTAGGCCCTAACCAAACTCTACACCTGCCTGCCTGTAATCACGATCCGCGCCCATGCTAACAGATTTTTTTCTCTCTGACGAGAACGAGAGCACGTCGTACTGGGAATCGCGATTTGCCAACTCGATGCCGAATTGGCACGCATCGGTCACCATTCAACTCGTTCGCACTATCGGCTCTGTCATCATCTGTCTTAAAAGAACACATGCGGGAGATAACCTTAAATGGAAGTGTATCAAGATGGATACTACGGCGGCTGTTATTAAGTGTTTATCGCTCCAATGATTATCCGCGACTTGAATATTGCTGATAATTAAGAAGTAACATATGTAACATGATCTCGTTAATATTAAAAAATAACATTGAATCTGTAAAGTGCATTATGAATCTTGATATTCTTGATAATATCGTCCAACCAAATATAGTCTCTATAATCTACATAATTTTTCAATGTAATAACGCATTCTATTTAGTATAAAAACTACCCGCATATAATTTGTACGGCAAAATCGTTAAGAGCATCGGAAGTTTTTTTTACGATTTCATTACATTTCGTTGACGTAAATAAAAATCGAAGCGTAAGTCGAACAACAAGAGAGAGAAAGTAATAGAAGCATGAACAAAGCTTCTAGAAGGTGAAAATTATAACAATGAAACATAAGAGGTGTTTACGCTTCTCTTTGTTTACTCTTCTCCTTATACTGTCTCCTTACATTCGATTTACACTCTGATTTTTATTTTCGCCAGAGAAGTAATTTAGGAAAGTTGTTAAGAACTGTCAGCAAAATATTATATTAAGCAAATTATTCGGTCAACAAGATATATTGGCGAAATTAATCACAATATTAATAATCTCAATCCGAAAGACCGTGATAACCGGAACGGAGAATACTTTTTCTAATTTTTTCGAAGACTTCTCGCCGTTGCCACGCCGGAAGAGCGAAAGATTGATCGCTCGATCGGGATCCGGGCAGGATTCTTTACACGGGCATCAGGCCAGCGTAGCGAGGATGGAAACAGAGAGGAGAGACGGTAGATTATAATTATACTCGTTTAATAATAGGCCTATAGATGTCGGCGTTCGATCCATGGTATAAAATTCTTCGTTAATTACTGTCAAACTGCCTTTCAAAGCGTAATTTAGCCTTGAGCCAGCCATGAGAGAAGGAGGACTCTCTTCTATAGAACAAGAGGAGAAAGACAGAAATTTTTATTTTCATCATCGATTTCGACCTGTGATCTCGCCGACGCGACGGTAGCTGACCCCGTCTCGGAGAAATCATAACGACGTGTTACATTCCCTCTCGAATGAATCAGGAAGCGAAGCCGACCGAATCGCGCGGTGAGATTGGCTATTTAGCAAACTGGCTGCTGTATGGGATGAGCCGACGCGACATCTTTTTAAAAATTAGCATTGTAAAACGATTTAATCCTTTGGTCGCTACTTTCTCAAAATTCTCGACAAAACCGAAATGCATTACAATTAGTCTATCACCTAAGTCTGTTATTAATATTAAATAGTGTGCTATCTCATAGAAACTCTCTCGATTACTTATTTAAAACTTTCCTTGATTTTATTTTAGAATTTTCAATCTCAGGTAGATCCCACAAATTGTGGCTTTAATGATAGATTCTTTAATAGTTTATATGAACTCTCGCGATTTTTTTCTGCGAAAATATCGTCACATCGATAATCTTCGAGCAATAAGCTATCGAAGAAACATATCGCTTTTCACAAATTAAATTTTTAAAGATATAAATAGACAGGAAACATATTATATTATATTCTTCAATTATACAACAGAATTGAGCTTTTCATTTTAATAGAATCCCGTTTAAAGCTCAATTATAAATTTATGTGATGTAGACAATTAGAAAGTTACAATAAATCACGATCTCCTTCGACATTTTCGCCAAGAAAAAATTTACTTTAAACTGATCAGGAAAGCAGTAGAAACTTATAATTTCAGGTATGTATCCCACAAATCGCGACTTTAATGATAGATCTTTTATATGGACTTAGTTTATATGGACTCAATTTTCCTTTAACTAAAAATATTTAGACATCAATAATTTTCGACTGAAGAAAAAATGCTTTTCGCAAACATATTGAACTTTCAAGGAAATAAATAGACAGCAAATTATTATATTCTTATACACAGTAAATTAACAGAAGTAGACATTTCACTTTTATAGAATTTCTGTTGGAAATTTCGCTAACTGTGGAATAGATTTTGTGTATGCATTCCAGTTAGAGAACGAACGAAATCTCAATATAAAAAAATGCGAGAAGAGCAAGTGTTTACTCACCAGTGTGCGGCATGGCGACGAGCGATCACGTCCCGTATCTGAAACAGAGCAAGTCTTTTAAGACTTAACGGCAAACTGCAAATCGTGTACGACGTGAAACGTAGTGCGCATCGCCGTATTAGAGCCTTCAGAGTGGCGTATCACGAGCACCGTGCGCGCCGTATATGCGTGTTTCTTACCGCGCGACGTATTATAGAGTATAGCGGGAGTATAGCCTTCGTCGTTAATGAATTTAAATGTATTCAAAGGGCGCGCTTGACGCTTGACATGGCAACCCTTAAATATGCAACCGTACCGATAAGGCAAAGCGCGGCAAAATATTGCCGCCGGTAGCCGCAAACCGTGACTCTCATTCCCGAACAGATCGCGGCGAGATCACGGCGAGACTGTTCTCCGAGAGAAAGAGAGAGAGAGAGAGTAGTGCCAACAACTTCATTTTCATATTTCAGTTTTTACGCTAATTGCATAAATTGCATAAATTGCATCACATATCGCGCAAGAAATTCTGGATCGTCGTTTGGTACACGAGATCTCTTCCTATAGTTTATTCAGCTGATCCCTTTGACATTTCCACATCTAACGTGGAAGTAGAACAGTGTTTCATGGTTGTCGTAGACGTCTAAGAAATCACGATTTGAGAACTCGCTCCGGACAGAAGAAGGAGCGAGCGGAAAACTACGTGGAATGCGTGCGTAGCGTAGCGGGTGGCGTGTACTTTGTGATGCAAATTAATGCACGATTACCGAAACACCCCTCAACCACCCTTGCACGACCACCGGCGACTTCTTACCCTCATAGTTACCCTTGCTTCCCTTCGCGCAGGTGTATGTACGTGTGTGTGTGTGTGTGTGTGTGTGAGAGGCACAGCGGGGACGTTTCGAGGTATATACGTGTAATAAGTACGATCCGCCTCCACCCCCGTGACTCGATGCTTACCCCGGCATTAGGCCTGGTTACACGCTCGCCCCTTCCCTTCAGGTTCTAATCTGATGTAACTATTACATACGTTACGCGGTATCCACATAGTCGAAATGGCTATGCGCCGCGTGGAGTCTCGATGAAAACTCATTTCTTCATGCCCAACCATCATCCGCCGTGTCCTCGTAACGACAAACTCCACTTTCCAGCGCCAACCTCTAATTTATACTTTCGATCCAGAGAACACGTACCGTTCTTTTTTCACGTTCAAAAGACATGCCCGGCAAAATATTCAGATAACAAAAAGTCCAAAATTTGGGACATATAAAACGTCTTAAACATATCTATAAGAGACGTCTTTCGGACTAAGAAATCGTCTGTAAGACGTTTTCTCGATTTAGGACTTTGTGTTGTCCAGGTAATTTCCAATTTCCATCCGTTCCATTAATTCCCTTCGTATATATTCTTCTCCATAAATGTAAAACGAGTTAGTAAAGATCCGTGGCAAATCCGGCCATGCGAAGCGACGAGACTTCGGCCTCTGCGAAAAAAAGCGGATTGCACATATGTATTGCATGCAGCTCGAAGGGCTACTAAATTCCGCGCAGCGATTTCAAGGTGTCAAGTTTTACTCGTTAAAGGGGTATACGGTCTACGATCGCGGCTCGATTCTCGACGACGAGCGGCGAAGAATGCATGAGCTTTTTGTCACGAGACGGGATTACTTTCGGCCTGACGGCGACGTTCGCCGGGCAATCTCGTTGGTCCGCGTCCCGCGGGGATGAAGCCTCTCGTAATGAGGATTGAGCGATTATTATAAATCAAACGAACCGGAGGCCACGGTGAACGTCGCGTTTCTCGCGTGCCACGTGTTTTGCCGATGTTACTCTCGCAAACACGTGTTCCGCCCCTCACTTCTTTCCCTTTCTTTTTCCATTTTCTCTTTTCGCTAAACGCATGCAAACGTCACGAATACACGTTGCATTTTCACAATGCGCGCAATTTTTATTCTCGCATCAATTGTAAAATAAAATAAAAATAAATATATAACAAAATATTCTCTATGCTTCATCAACTATTTCTGAGTTCTTAAGACTAGAAGTACCAAGCGTTTACTACTTATTTTTTCTAGATTTTAAATTAATATTATACTTCTTATGTAAACAATGTAGAATATTTTGAAATTTTTCAATATTTTAATAATTATATCTTTACTAATGAAATATTTAATTTTTTATCACTTCCTTTGTTTAATTTATTTGCTTGATTTTTTTTTAATAAGTAAGAATTAGTACTCCAGTTAATGTCATCAGTCATTATCGTGAATGATAAAACATCAGAGAACTTGTCTCATTCCTGTAAATATATTATATTAAATATATGTTTTTTTTAGTATATATATTTTTGTCATAATCATTATATTAATGGAACAATAATATTAATTTCTAATAATTTTTCTATTCCTTTTCTTTTAAAATATTTATAGAGATCAAGAGAGATTGTATCTTATCAGTGTTAAAAAAGAAAATAAAAGCGTGTTACTTAAAGCTTAATACGAAAAAAATATTAAGTCACAATCGGTCATTCCCATCAATTGGTAAATCTGAGATTTCCGGCAATGGAGCGAGTAGTTCGAACCGATTTGAGAACCGCGGCAACCACGGTAAATCGCCGGTAAGGTCACGCTTTTACGTGTAAGCCCTAAGCGAAATCTAGTTTTTGTTTATTCATTAGGTTACCCCGCGCTTTAAGTGGTACGTGAAGGAAGGCTTCGCCGCAGCAGCGACGTCGGGGGAAACGAAACGGGGGAACCGCGGGGAGGGTGGACCGACTGCCGTATCACCGATACGCCACCAGCCATAAAAATCTGAATATATTAGGCCTACATGCGCACGACATCTCGCTCGGATCGTGAACACGTTACTCGCGATAATCTACGCTCGTTTCCAGCACACTTTGCACGTTTATGCGTATACCAGAGGCGACTACCGTGCGAACGGGTTACCTTTTCGTCGTCATCGTCCTGATGCTTCTTTCCTCACCACCGGTTTCGAATTGGATTATCCTGTATCAATTAGAGCTTATTTTGTTGGCCACAATTTATCACGATGCTGTCGATGGAGGGGTAAAAAATTGAGTAAGTCTAAAAATGATCACGGAACGATTTCGCCTGATTTATTGATGTGAAAGAAATTAAGAAGTCAAATTGCTTATATTATATTTCTTTAACAATTTAATATATATACGTATATATACATAATCAGAAAGGTTGATTTTTAAGCGTACGCTTTACGTGCGCTTTATCTGCAACAACGTTCAAGGTTAACATTGACGTACTGCGCTCGCGAGCAACGTTTATTTCATCTTCCATAAATCGTGTCGTACGAAATTAACTCGTTCGTCGTCGATGCGCACCGCGCCGGAGGGTACGTCGATTCTAAAATTCAAGATTTTTCGACCGCGGAGTGTTCGAGCGGATAAGCTTTCGAGAGCACGGTAAGAAAAATCGGCGAGGTGCGGGTGGTAGAGGGAGAGAATAAGAGACCGAGGGGGACAGAGGGCAGGGCGGGTAATTAGAATAATTCGGGCCGCTGTGGTTCACGCCATCCGGACGAATTTGCATTTTAAATGAAGCGATGGCGTGCCAAGGGCCCCACCATGCAGGCGGAGAGAAGAGGAGAGAGAAGGAGCGAGAGAGCGAACGAGAGTGGTAGAACTTTGTGCTTTATAAGGAACTTTAATATTTATCGCTTATATATCCCGAATAAGTATATGTATATATCCACCCTTTCCTTCCACCGCCGCAGTCACGGGGTTCACTCATGCTTATATGCTCGAGCACAGCCCCCGCGACTTCCTTCTCGGTTCTCTTCCGTCTCGCGGCCCCCTCGCGATATCCCCCACCGTGGTATCAGATAATTATCGCGTAATTAGCACCGCCGATTTTCGTGTCGCGTCATCGCACACGCACGCATATACGACGATGATTTCAGCTTTAATCTGTTCGGCGTGATACTCCATGAGAATTTCGTCAGCGATTCTGTTGAGTGATAAGGCCAAATTCTTTCCCTTTTTAAACATCTTAAAGTTCCAAGAGATAATCTGCTGTCACATATGTATCGATAATTTCCGATGCGAGATATATCGAAGGAAAATAGGCATTGCTGGCTTCGCGTAATCGCACAAATATTTCCGAGATTGTAATATAATATATTCAGGTCAGATTTTATTATCGCTTCGATGAAGATTAATCTCCCTTTGTAGCATTATACTTTTTCTATTAATACGTAAAAACTATCACAAGAATAAACACGGAAGTAGAGTTTTGCATAACGCATAACACGTAAGAAACTGGACCAATTAAAGTTTTTTACTTTATTCCTTTCCATGAGATAAAAACACTGATTGACTGATTTTTTTATTTATTATGCGTTATGCGTTATGGAAAATTCTGTACTCTTAATCACGTAAAACGCACCAGTGGACAACGAGTTGAGAAAGTTTAGAATCATCGTAAACAATACGAAAAAAATACACTTCAAAAAAGGTATAGTAATAGTTAAACATCCGTAAGAATTATTAATCACTGTTCATCAACCGCGATCAGGAACCTTATGTGCATCACAAAGACGAGCGTACATTACGACAAGGGGTGAGTTTTTCTCAATACGTAAATACACGGTATCAACGTTCATGAAAGTTGACACTGAATTACTGTCGGGCGTTGCGACGTAACGCGATGTGTACCGAGCGAATAATGAAACGCGGATCTAATTAAGAGGCAAGAAACCTGCCGGATAATTTATTTATCCAGCCGGGGCGTGCACGACCACAATTATACGCGAAAACGTCTATCACGGTGTGTTCCTAGCGAGATGAAAAGGGAAACGTAGCCCTATACGTACCTGTTGATTTTTTTTATAGTATCGGTCCGTAATGCTCCTCAGCTTCCGTGTAGCATTCGATCTCCTCGAGAATTTCCCTCGTAGCTAGTTTCGCATCGAAGGTATCCCACGTTCTCCGCTCACCTCGGTGTTCCCCAATGTCGTACTTGTCGTTCTCTCCCTCTCGATTTAATTCGCCGACATTATACGA